AAACTCTTGTATTCATTGTTTTTCGTGAAAAACCAGCCATTCCCAATGTTGATGCTCAATTCCACAAGCACTCGTTCGAGACACACACACACACACACACGCGTGGCATCATTGCGTTGTAGTGGAATTGACACTGGGGACTGCGCTGGAACGGGGCCTGGGGTTTGGGAATATGGTATTTGATTTTGAAGGCTTCCGTATCCAGAATCACGGCATCATAAAGTGAACAATCAAGTCAAACACTCTAACACCACGTGCACGCGCAAAGATACAACATAAGTCCATTAAAGTATGTCCATACCGATTGACGGGACTTGTTCAGAATGGCTTCCCCCAGTGTGCACGCGCAAAAGTATGACTTCACCACTGGGCGGTACGACTTAACACAACCCCCCAGTAGCAACAAGAACAACAGCAACGGCAGCAGCAGCAGCAGCAGCAGCAGCAGCAGCGGCGGCAGCAAACAAACGAAGATGATGAGAAATGGAAGGTCGGAACCACAAGCTTCTGAGAAACCGTAGCCCTTGGTCCGAAAACCGAAGACTCAACTGACCCAACCCTTCCACTCCAAAGGCCCCATCCCTGTGCCCTGTCCTGTGAAACCTCTCCCGCCGACTGCGAGCGGCTAAGGCCCTGGTCGCTTTGTCCATCATCTTAACGCAATGGCTGGAGTTTGGGACTTGTCGGGCTTTCAAGCGCAGGGTTTGCAGCTTATCGTCTCGGAACTCGGGTAGAGGCTTGTGCTACGCCCGAGGTTTGCATTACTGAGACTTTAGGGTTGGCTGTTTACGATTCAGGTGTATCGGGGGCCAAGCTTCGGCTTTCGGCCTTGGAGACATGAGGAACCTAGTGCAAACGCCGAATACCGATGATGCTTAACGTAGAGACCCAAACAAAAGGCTACGAAAGTACAAAGTGAGAAAGCCTTCCTGCAGCAAGGTCGTCCGTATACAAACCATCAGATCTCCTCATGTCGCACTTTCCACCCTGGGGTACGAAAATCAGAGACCGCAGTAGACCGCAAGACAGAACCCTAAAGGATAGGTAGTATTGTAAGACGTCTAAACAAGATTCCAAAACCCTCTGAGGGTAGCATTGCACAGACCATACGGTGTGGGTCATCCAGAAGGTTCGGACACCCTTCTGCAACTGCAGCTGACCTTGGAAAAGGGCATGCCGACGCAGGTGTACTGATCCTTGACGTTGTATTTTCCCGGCTCGAAAAACCTTCGGGAGAAAAGCAGGGCTCAGGGTTCACAGTCCTACTAGGTGCTTAGGCTGTCCAATGGTGCGGGGCTTGGGACGGCTTTTTCGTCTTTTGGGCTTCGATTCAGCTTACGCCCAAAGCTTCAGCTTGCTCCAGGCACCAGGGTCGACAACTGGGGAGGTACGAGAACCAGTGCTGGTACCAGTACTAGTACTCGTGATAGGAGTAATAATACCAGAAGCAGCAGCAGCAGCAGTAGTAGCAGCAGTAGCACTGGCAGTTCGCCGTCGTCGTCGTGTACTTCATGGGTCGATTCGGCAGGACTGGTTCTTTTGCGGGCCCTTGGCGAAATCCAGTGCTTCCCAGAGACTACCTTCGAAACCAACGCAAGAACTCCTCGAGACCCCTAGCATCATCATTTGAAGCATCCCCAGCTTCGGAACCCTAGCCTGAGCCACGATCTCCCAAACCCGTTGTCTGTCGAAACCCCTACACACACCCGACACCCCAAACGCGAAACTCTCCAGCGCAGAGAACCATTCAGCCAAGGAGCGGGAAGTTCATGGCAAAGTCTGCAGTATGCCCATGCCTGGGCATGGTGGGGCAGGGGCTTCCACCTCATATAAGGCCTGAAAAGGAATTTCTCCTAAGGCTCTCAGTCTGCAACTCGTGGGGTTGTAAGAAAATTGGGCCACGAGATTGCGAGCCCGAAAATTCGGGCCAAGCATGTGCTGAGGGAATCATGTCCGTTATCACGCAGAAGGCTTCGTGTGCTGATTGAACGTGAGCTGCTCACCGGTCCACGATGCTTGCATCGAACTTCGAGTATCTTGGGCCACCTGCACGCCCCTTTTGGAAACTCGAAATCACTGACATAACCAGCTGTGCCTGTGAAATGATGTGGAACGGAAAATGCTCCAATTAGCTCGGACCCTGTGTGTGAAGTGGACCCAGCCCCAAACCATCCCCAAAACATCCCAAGGCCCCTTCTCACATGTCCGAGCTGCATGTGTCTCTTGAAGTCCCACGCCTGAGCTCCCAGCGGTTAGGGAAAAGCTGGAGCTTTGCGGAGGTCGTTTGCTTAAGGCCGAAGGCCCTGGGGGGGAAGCAGCTCTTGTTGCTGTCGCGGGACGAGCTCAAAACCTGCGCCCCTTGAAGGGAGCCTATTTTGGGGACCCTTTTTCTAATTTTGAATAAGGAAGGCAGGAAGGAAGCAAGTAAGGAAGGAAGGGAGCAAGGAATGAAGGAAGGAAGGGAAGAAAGAAACGGAGGGAGGGAGGGAGGGAGGAAGGAAGGAAGGAAGGAAGGAATGAAGGAATACACATATACATACACGGCCTACTTTGTAGTATGTTTTCTTCTGAATTATTTACGACAACACTTATATACGCACACACACACGGAGATATGTATATACTTATATACACGCACTGTTAAATCTTCTCCATGAATATATAAAGTGTGCATGAATATATAAAAGGTGTGTATGTACCCTTTACATATACATATACATATACATATACATATACATATACATATACATATACATATATATATATATACTTTATGTGTATGTATATATATATATATATGTATGTATACGTCTTTATTTGTACATCGTACCCATATATATATATATATATATTATAGACTTTGATTGTGTATGTATATAGGTCTATAGCTTATCAATGGTATACATAGTATACATAGTGTTCGTGTTTATATATATATATATATATTCTTGATGCATGTAGAGTATACACTTTTATAAAATGCATATACAGAGAGAGAATGCAGATATGTATTGTTTTTATCATATACTATATATTGCGGCAGACTCGACAGCCTCTAATATAATGTAACATATATATGTACATGTATACATGTTCTTTACCTGCTATACATACTGTTCACAAATCGTTTACCACACTGTATATACCATATGTGCATGAAAAAAACCTACATGGTACACATAGGACGTATACACTGAAGCGTCTCCCTAAAAGGGGTCGGAAGGGTTTCGCAAAGAGCGGTTTCCGTCGGGACTCCTGTACAAGGTTCCCTGTGCTGAATCTCCCACCCCTGCACGGAATCCCGTAAAATACAGGGAACAAGCGTACTGCCTTAGGAAACCCCACGACACCGACCCCCTCCCCTACCACCAAAACAAAAAACACCCTCCCTTGAAGGACCACAATATTCACTTGAAAGATGCTTCAGCGTCTAGCCCGAGTCTTCCCCTCTATCCCGAAGCCCGCAGGTAAAATTTGAGAGCCCGTGGCTGCAAGATATCTACTGACTACTAGTCATCATTACCATAACACTCGCCGTAATCTTGATGCTGGAAAGAGACTGCCAACAATAAAGCGGTACGATGTGCATAAAAAGACATCCATGCCCGAAACGCGCTCCACTCCTTTCCTTTGCTCATGGACCCTACTGCAAACGCTGAACCCCAACCCCAAAGCCGGAAACATCTTGAAACCGAAGCCGCCAGCTTTGGGCTGGGTGGAGCCAGGAGGCCGGTTGCCGAACGGACGACGAGGAAGCAGCATCCAGAGTGGCCCACGCCTTTCTTTGTTTTGGCTTCACTGGATCTGGACACGATGGGTTGAACAGGATTCAGTGTCAGCAGGGTTCGAAACAGGCGATTAGGGTTGAAATGTGGCTAAGAAGGTAGGCAGTTTAGATAGTTAGGGTTCAAAGGCAAGGGCTCAAAGGCAAGCCAAGAGCCCAACGAAACCGATGGGCCTGAGACAATAATTCTCGCCTCGGCTAGTTTTTTAAGCTCATGTGCCTTGAAGCCCCAAGCCCCAAGCAAACGGAAGCGCGGGTCTCTTGCGTTTCAGGTACCCCGTAGTGCTCCGGTGCGAAGGTCATGCCATAGTGGCAGGCGTCTGCGGGCTCTGGCCTCGGTCCGAGCAAGTCGGCGATGAAAGGCTTGGTATGGCGCTTCTGAAACCTGAGCTTGGGGCTCAAGACCCTGAAACACCTCATGAGTAGGGTATGGGGTTTCGCAACGGCCCCAAAAAGCCTTTGAACCCCAGAATCAACAGGCCTCGAGGTGGCCAGCTTCAGGTAGCCGTCTCGCAGCCCAGGCTCGTACGCCTGTTCAAATGCTCAAAGATGAACGGGCTCCTGATCTAGCAAAAAATGGGTGATCTGCAGCGTGGTGTGTGTTTTCATTTGAAGCATGCTTCAGGTCGCTGCCGAGCTGTTCGCATTCAGGGCACACTGGCCTTGGAGAAGCTGGACCAAGACTCCCCAAGCTCCATTCCTCAACGGTTTCAGCGTTCGTGACGCATCTGGCAAGCAGGGTTCTCGGATCAGAAGACAGGCTGCAGCTTCGGGCTTTTTCGAGCTCTGGAGCCTAGGGGTCCGCTTGACCCGGTGCTCGAATTCAGGGGCGTCATAGAGTCGAGGGCCAGCACAGACCCCACAAAGCTTACTCCTGATAACAAGGTCAAGCTGCCAGAGTCCGCTTCTCGCTGCTTCCTCGCGGAACGCTGGCGCGTGCACGTCAAGCTTGCGATCGAAGGCTCCGGCATCACAGCATGCAGACAGCACGTGCGCGTATCCTGCTGTACATGTTCATCATTTAGAACAGCTGCATCCGGTCCGGAACTAGACATCCTGTACTCCGCCGAGAAACACCCCAGAATTCTTCCCCTGAAGACCTGTTCGTCCTGCAAGCTTTCGGGCCGACATCCTCCATGCCAACCCTCGAAACCCTCAACCGACTGATGCCTCTGTTCGTTTGAGGGTTCAGCTTTAGGGTCTTCGGGGGTTTACTGCTTAAGGATCTTTCTGAGTTATGAGGTTTCCAGGGCTGCTCAGAGCTTCTTTAGGGGATTTAAGGTTTAGGTTCCCCGAAATCTTCGGCGTAACGCTCTGAAGAGCAGGGCAGCCTCGGGATGTGCTTCGCCCTGGCACCGAACTCCCAGAGCCTCAGGCACGGGCGGTTTGTGTTTTAGGGTTTCGAGGGCCAGGGGGCCCTTTAGGACTTCAGTGGGCTTTAGGGCTTTGGGGCTTCTGGGGTTCAATATGACTCGATAACACCAACGCTATCCCACCCTCCCGCAGACAACAGCGGGAAAACAACCGTACCAGAATATCCGAGCGGCGGGGAGCGCACTTTGGTAAAGCTGTGAGAGACGCGGTAGTGTCCTGAAGATAAGAATTACAGTAGGGGTTGAATGCTGGGATTCAGGGTCCAGAGTTGGGGGCTTGAGGGGTTCACGACTTACCACCACAAGTACCAACGTCGGCACCCTGCTTTCCCCATGCAAGCCTGCTTCCGGCGTCTCGATGTTGTTGGGATGCATGAAGCCTGTCGGCGATTCCAGCCAAACTCCCATTCAAGCCGCCCTGCGTCGCCGCAACAGCCATCATCATCACCATCAGCAGCATCATCATCAATATGACTATTGATCAGCACGAACACCAACGTCAGTACCAACTCTTAGGAAGTTATTAGCATGGAACTACCTCAGAATTACTTCGTGAATACGCTTAAGTCACTCAACGGCGTCAACAGTTTCCCCGTTTAGGGCTGAGGGCCTCAAGCCACCGGCAGTATTCAGGCTTTCGGTGGAACAGCAGCACCACCGTCAGCATCCTCGTCATCATCTTCATCGTTCCTTATCGTTCCGCACCAACATTGCTATTGCCCAGAATGGACACGGTGAGAAAGGATGCCACCGAAGCACGGCCGAAGAGTGCCCGTGCTGTCTCGCAGAAGTTGCCCTCATCCTGGCCTGCCGCAGATCTCGCAGGATTTCTAGAAGATCGTAGGGCCATAGGGCCTTAGGGCCCTAGCTAGGATCAGGGCTCTCGCTTAATACCCTCGGTGCAGCTTGAAACGCATGCCGCCTAAGAGTATAATTGTGTTAAGGAGAAGGGAGGAGAGTTACTACAAACATGCAGCATGAAGGTGCCGAGTCGATGAGATCAAAGCCTTGCAGCGAGCCCAACCTCACAACACCACTTGCCAGGGTCCTTGGGAAGTAAACGCAGGCGTCGGCTTCGGCGATGCACCTGCATCCCGAAATATCGTGTCGGATTTCAGGAGCGTGGCTGTTGATTTCTGAGCTTCGCGGCCAGAGCTTGACGGAAACTGCAGGGCTTGCTTACGAGGGGGGATTCGGAGCTTCAGGGCTGCACGTAGGGTTTCTTCTTCTTCGGGGTCTGAGGGCACGAGATGCTGAAGGCAACCCGGCCCAAGGATCTCGCACAAGGCTGGGTTTGGGTGCTTCGTACTCTAGTCGGACATCGCTTGTGTCCCTCTTGCTTTGCAGAACCTGTGAAACACAAGATCCAACTCGTCAAGTGCCCAAAACCAGGATTCTTTGTGCCCCAGCCACTATCGGACAGGTCCGCTGTGTCCCCAAGAGCTGCAGCAGACGCTGTAGTCTCGGCGTCCGTGCTAGCTGCGGAGGACCTCACTATAGAGCAAATTAGGCTTCGGCAGAAGCAGGGTTGAGGGTTTGATTGGTCTGTCTATGTCTGTCTCACCTTCTCCTCAGGTTCAAAGAAGCTCAACATCTGTTGAGGTAAGTTGGAGCCTTGGAGCCGGCGCAACCTACACCCAGACCCCAAACCTCGCTTGAACCCTACGCTTCCCCACTCAATCCGAGAAGCGCAGAGACGTGAGACGCCATCGACTTCATGGACCTCACAAGAAGTTAATGTAGGGCAACCGCACAATGATCAAACGAGGATCAAAAACACTAGACTTAAACGCAGGAGGAGGAAGGAGGCGGAGAAGGAGTTCGACGAGCAGGAAGGAGGTTGTTCAGGGTGAAGCAGGGGCCTCCAAAAGGACATAAGCAAAAGCATTCCGCAATGATATCACTACCTTATGGGGTTTCATGATAATATAAAAGGATGTATATGGGATATCTCTATCCTAACTTTGGCTTAATTCTTGGGGCCTAATGAGGGACGTTGGGATGAGTTTGTAATTGAAGCGGCCGAAATCGGGTTTCTGCTCCTGGAAACCTCAAATCAGCAAGGACACTTGAGAGACTTCAAGGACGTCATGGTGGACATGAGCGACTTCCTCAGAGGCACAAAGACGTGGAGAATAGGCTTCAAACGTTTCCTGGTTCGTGACTTCGATGAAGAGACTCACGAACGAAAAAATGCGGCACCCAGCTAACACGCTACTGTACTTTATTGTGATTTCGGTGGAATTGCCCACGACTCCGGATTATTTACGGACTTGGAGGCTTGAGAGTTGAGGGTTTCTGGAGCGCGAGACTTCTTGGAACCGCTTAGGAGTTAAGCGTTTCAGGATTTGGGGTTTGAGGCTGCTACGATTTAGGGATTTGCTGCTTGGGGCCACAATGAACAGGAAAACTAGTCTGCCTTGAGACCCCCTTCAAAACGCTCCATAACCCTCCCAGAGCTACGACAGCGAAGGGCGAAAGGGACCTCCTCTCCACAAAGCTTGAATGCTTGAACCCATGAATAAAAATTGAGCATGATGTCTTCATGATTAGTTAGGTGAGAAAGGACAACAGAAGCTTTCACCCAGTTGCAATAGATCCCTGATGAGCGGACTTTTCCAACTGTTTTCGCTTCGGTGGCGTTTTCTGCGATTCGACTCCCTCGGAGTCCGATCGTTTTCATCGATGTAGACTTACATTTCTAACAGACATGGTCTCTCGATGTATCGGAGGACCGACCGTTTTTTGGTCGGGTCTCGAAGAAAGAAAGCAGAGGAAACAATATATACAAAGAGGGTTAGGGAGGGTGGGAGAATAAAATTTTGAACAAAAACTTAAGACAAACGGCAACGGAGTATCTACCAAGGTCGCATTCAATCGGATTCAGCAGATCCACGCGCAATCCGATCGGTGGTTTGATGAAAGCATGAAGTTGTCATTTCACACACAAGTGTGCTACACAACAATCATCATCGTCCGAAGTGTAGTACTAATAGAGTAATATTGATCATCACCATCATCATCCGCACCATCCTGGTCTCCATAAGAAAAAGACCAACTCAGACTAACCATACCTACTCCACCTCAGGGTCTGTACTCTCCAGGAAGAGATGTGGCTGCAAGCCCTCGGCAAAGGCGTTTCCACAAAACACCTCCTTGGACCTTGCAGCGGGACGACAAAGGGCAGGGGCTGTTGCCTAAGACGTGCTCTGAACTTTCAGCCCTTTAAACCCCAGAAAACACCAACAAAACCCTGCAAACAGGGGGAACACACAATGCGCTAACGAGGACACATTTAAGACCCCAGGCCCCGAACCAGGTAGCTGGTAAATTTGTGTCGAGTGTCGGTGATGTCGGCGACTGCACCGATGCAAGGGATTTCATGCTCGCAGACTTTCGCATCTGGGGGCTCGAAACAAAGCACTCCCATGAAGGGTCGTACGAGGTTCGGGGAGTTTGTATAGGCCTCGTACAGGTTTACAGGGTCGATCTTAGTCAGGGTTTCAGCTACAACTTTCATGTACTTGCCAACAAGACCGACAGAAGGGAGCTTGTGGTATGATTTCCCGACCAACACAGCTGGAGAGGTTGCGTAATCCAGACTGGGGTTTGCCCATGTTTGCCCTGCCTGCGCATCATCCACGGCTTCTTCGGCCTCCGGGGACGTAGCCTTGCTGCGCAGAGTCATCAAAACAACATCCGATGGGGAACCCCAAACTTGGCAGCACTGAGGGGAGCCCAGCATCAGCGAACTTAAAATCACACCACATTCCGATCTCGCCTTCTTCTTGCCGTCTCTTTTGCCTTCTCTGCTGGCAGGCGTGGCAGCAGTGGATCGCTGGAACTCCTGGAAAGGCTGGAATTGTCTCGAATTCAGGGCTCCGGAACTACTGCACTGACTGCACTTCTAATAAACTTCAAATCTGTAGGATAGGTGGCCTAGAAGGGCCTAGAAGCCACTAAACCCAGAGGGCCGGCCTATGTAATGCAAGACTTAATGCAAGCACCTGGGACCTATATAGTATTTCGGGCAAGCCTTGGCGGGGTATGCTACACCAGACCATACCGTGACTACATACAGGTTGGAAGGACAGTATATTTCCCAAGTGTGGAGTATCTACAATTCTACACCACTTGCTCGACCGCGGATCTCGGCCGAGCTGATCTTACAGGAGCTGGGGGAAGCCCGGAGGAGTTCACCGCGGCACAGTTCAGAAATTCAGAAGTATTTGCCGGACGACACCATGTATCTGCCAGGACGCGGCCCTGGGGTAGCAACTTCCAGGGGATCAGGACTCGGCGTGCTCAGGTCCGCCCCGCTTCCGCGGCAGTCAGCTTTTTGTTGCCATCGCTTTTCGAAGTCTTCGAGATTCTTCGGCCTCCGGTCTTCGAAGGCTTCCAGGAGCTCCCCGGAACTTTGCCAGGGACTCCGTTGTGTCTTGGGGGGAGATGGGCTGGGCGAGAGGCTCCGAGATACGTCACTGGGACACGATGCGACCAGCATGCGCAAGATCTCCGTCTGGCCGTAGAGGGATGCTGCTAGCAGTGGGGTTGCTCCCGTAGCTGTGGCTTTGCGAGGGTCCGCCTGAGACCGCAGAAGCAGCAGAGTAGTTTCCATGGAGCCTTTCTCAACTGCAATGATCAGGGGCGTCGCACCATCCCTGCTGGCGCGGTCCACCACCACCCTGGCCTCCAGCAACAAGCGAACGATCTCGGAATGTGTCTTGCGACAGGCGTGGAAGAGCGGCGTGAAACCACTCTTGTCGCTTTGGTTGACATCGGCTTCTGCCTACAAAGACAACGGAACACAAGAATCGGGACCATCAGACCTACCCATAAAGCCAAGTCCATCAAGTCGTTAAACATCCTCAGAAGGGAAAAGGGTGAGAGGGGAGGGAGGGACGAGAGGGAGGAGGAGGAGAGGGAGAGGAAGGAGAGCCAGCAGAGGGAAAACAATAAAAACGAGAAGCAAAAGAGATAAACCGGAGCCACCGAGCCTGGATCAGCAGATCTGTCACCTGCACGTGGCCTTTGTGTGCTGCCGAGGCCAGGGGCGAGACGCCATTGGTCAGCGTCTGGTGTAGGTCGGCCCGCCCGTCCAGCAGGCAGCGAGCGACCTCCACGTGACCGTTCCTCCGCGTAAATCTTAGGGTCTGCGGGCTGGTGGCCACTCTGAAGTAGACACCGATTGCACCCACCAAAATCCGAAGAAAAGTAGACGCACCGTCATTGCAGGTGTCTTGGGCTGTCGAAAAACCGTTTACGTACCCCCAACAGCCCCAAACAGCTTGACATCCTGCGTCGGGCTTCTGAGAAGCAACGAAAAGTGGGCTGGCGCCCTCGGCCTCGGCCGTCGCCACTTCTGCGGAGCACAGAAGCAAGAACCGCACCACCTTCCAGGGCAGCTCCTATCTTTATCAACATCATCATCACCATCAACAACGACAACACCAGCAGCAGCAGCAGCAGCAGCAACAGCAGCAGTAACAGCAAATGCAGCAACAGCAGCAACAGCAGCACCGGGCAACCAGCGGCACTAGCGGCACTAGCGGCACCATCAGCACAAGCAGCAGCACCACCACCAGCAGCAGAAGCCTGCAGCTGCAGCGTCGAAACCGAAGATGAAGACGAAGAAGACGAAGAAGACGAAGAAGACGAAGAAGACGAAGACGAGGACGAAGAAGAAGAAGAACACGAAGACCAACACGAAAACGACCACGACAATGACCCCAAACGCATAAAAACCCGTTACCTTCTACAACCCAACCAACAGGCCCAAGCCTCCGTGTGGCCCTGGTGAGATGCTGCGAGCAATGGCGTGGCACCGTCAGGGTCACTGTGGTCCGCGTTTGCTAAGGCCTTGTCGGGGTTCTTTGAAAAAATACTGTTCGTTTTCTGCTTCAATCCCGTTGTGAAAGTACCACAAACCTTGCTAGATTCGTTGTTATTCTGTTTCATGTTTTTTGAGCGTACATGTTACAGCTACATGTATTGATCCGGTGTGAACTGACCTCCGGGTTTGCAAATTCCACCCTCCAACCACTGTTCTAATCGTGGACCCTTGGTATTACAAGTCCGTCCAAGAAGCACACCTTTGAATTGAAGACAAACCTTTAACAAACGCGCCTCCACTAGCAAGGAAGCACATTCCACATTGCCGCACCAGGCAGCGATGTGCAGGGGAGAGCGGCCCATCTCATCCACAACATCAGGATCCTCCCAAACTACACCCGGCAAAAAATTGAAAGCGTGGCAAGCGGTAGCGACGGTTTGTAGCCTGTGTTCAAGCCTCATCTCGATCCGTTGGCGTGCATATGAATGTACTCATGTAAGGTTCATGTATGCATGCTACATGCACATACGCCCATACGCGCGTAATCATTCATGCACACAGCAATACATGGGTAGTTGTCTTAATTAAGGTCCCGTTTCCGGTCCCAAATATGGTGCGGCACTGTTATGGAAAAAACCCAAAACGGACCCTAATTTAGAGACCTACCCACATCTTCCTTCCATTGCATAACTGTCTGCTTTCGATGCTGGCGCCTCCCTCTTAGCACATTGCGCGCTGCCATCCCTCCTGTAGGTGATCACACGCAATCATGTGCTGCTGCCCGCTTGCAGGATACGCGGGCTTTTGCAGGATCCTTGCCTGTTTTTTGCTGCCTGCTGCAACAGGCTTTCCGCTATAATGACGTATTTCTGAAGTGCAGCATGTTTCCACCGTCGGCACTTGGCCCCAAGCTAGGATTGGTATGGCGTCTGGCGTCTGGTATCCAACTTGCAGGAGGGCCCACTCCCCTTTTACCGCCCCCTAGAACCCAACTAGGATCCTCCTCTCTTGCTGAGGCAGAAAAGAGTCTTCGGACCAGCCCGTTGGTCCTCTTCAAAGGATCGTGTCTTATGCGGGAACGACCTCGGAGCGCCAGGCCCTGTTGGTTTTTTGGCATTTCAGCTTAAGGTCCGGTCTGTTGTTTTTATGAGAATCAACCAACATGTGAGAGCAGCCCACAAAGCTGTTGTTCATGCCCGGCCTGAGTGCACTCGCGGTAAAGGCTGTGGCTGCTAAGCTTTGCTGGGATTCTATCATCCTGTTCCGTCCAATCAGATATGTGATTGCGCTGCTTTCCTTGAGCAAAGCTGA